TTCAAAAAAGCAGGTCTTGACAAATGAAATGATGCACAGGCAGCAAAAGTTAACTCACAAATATTTAGCTGTGCAGGCTTTTATTTCAGAATGGCAATTTCCTTCTAAATAAACAAATAAATAAATAAATATAGTTAGCCCAATATCAAGATTAGGATGACTGCAGATCATCTTAGAGGATACAGCATATCTGTGAATATATTCTGTGATGTGCAAAGTTTAAAATTTGATTGGATACTGAAGTACTGAAACTACCAACTCATATAAAAGTTTGTAACTACTTATTGTTCAGTCTAAGATAACTGCAGCTGTCTTTACCTTCTTGTTTGGTAAGAGTACAATATCTCAGCTTCTCATTTCAATTTATAAACAATTAAAATGCTAAAATATTTTAATTTTCTGATGGGTATTCCAAGAGACTTCTGATTGGATTTTGCAGGGTTTTTTATGCCTGCTGTTTAAAAAAGCATGTGAAAGCTCTGGGGATTAAAATACTGCCTATATGTGTAGGAGAGAAGCAAGAGGAAGATTAAACCCTATAGGTAAGTGGATATAAAGTATGCTTGAGGATGTCCTCCTCCTCGGAAGCAGATCATGCATCTTCAAGTACTTATAAAATAAAATAATTTCTGACAGAACTACAGTTTCCCATACCACACTGCAAAAAATGTGGAGAGGGAAGAGATATTATAGACATTGTAAAACTCACAGTCTGAGACAGGGAGACAACATTTCTTTGGCAACAGAGAGGAACAAGGATCACAAAATGGTTTGTGTTGGAATGGACCTTAAAGATAATTCTTTTCCAACCCCTTTGCCATGGGCAGGGACACCTTTCACTGGACCAGGTTGCTCAGAGCCCCATCCAGCCTGGCCTTAAACATTCCTGGGGATGGGGCATCCACAGCTTTTTTGGCAACCTGTGCCAGTGGCTCACCAACTTCACAGTGAAGAATTTCTTCCTAATATCTAACCTAAATCTACTCTTTCAGTTTGAAGCCAATCCCCCTTATCCTGTCACTACAGGCCCTTGTAAAAAAGTCCCTCTCCAGCTTTCTTCCAGGCTTCCTTCCAGAACTGGAAGCCAAAAAGTAGGTCACCCCAAAGCCTTCTCCTTTTCAGACTGAGCAATCCCAACCTTCTCAGCCTTTCCTCATAGCAGAGGTGCTCCACCCCTGGAGTCATCTTGGTGGCCTCCTCTGGACTGGCTCCAGCAGCTCACTGTCCTTCCTGCGCTGGGAGCCCAGAGCTGGATGCAATATTCCAGGTGGGATCCCAGCAGGGCAGAGCAGAGGGGCAGAATCCCCTCCCTGCCCTGCTGCCCACGGGGCTCCTGATGCAGCCCAGGACACGTTTGGCTCTCTGGGCTGCCAGCACTCATGGCCAGGTCACATCCAGCCCCCATCCACCAGCACCCCCAAGTCCTTCAGGGCAGGGCTGCTCTGATCTGTTCACCCCCAGCCTGTGTTGATACCAGGGTTTGCCCCATCCCAGATGCAGCACCTGCTCTTGGTCTTATTAAACCTCAAAAGGGCACAATGGGTCCATTTCTCCAGCTTATCCAGGTCCCTCTGGATGGCATCCTGTCCTCAGGCGTGTTAACCACACCACCCAGCTTGGTGTCATCAGCAAATACACTGAGGGTGCTCTCAATCCCTCTCTCTATGTCAATAACAAAGGTATTTAATAACACTGGTGCCAACAAGGACCCCTGAGAGACACCACTTGTCAGTGCTGTCCATCAGGACTTTGAGCTGTCAATAACCATGAGATGCAACTGTCCAACCACTTTCTTATCCGTCATTAAATCCACCTCTCTCCAGTTTGGGGAAAAGCATGTTGTGCCTAACTGTGTCAAAGGCTTTACAGAAGTCCAGATAAATGACATCTGTAATCTTTCCCTTGTCCACCAATGTAGTCACTCCATCAAACCAATAATTTTCTCTTGTTTTTTCGTGTGCCCTTTGAGGCTACTCAGACCCCTCAGAACATCAGAGCACAGGACCAAGTACAACAAGCAAGAATTCCCCTCCACCCAACTCTTCCAGGCCTTGAATTGCAGCCATGCCAACCATCTGAGCTATCCTCAGAGCAGGACAGGGAATCTGTCCACGAAATATATGAAAGGAAATTTGCTGTGTAACTGTGTTGGCAGGCTTGAGCTGCACTGCTTTTGCTGTTCAGACTCATTTATCTGTACGGGTTATCTGCTAGAACTGCACCTCAGCAAACTTTGCTAATTTTCCCTGTGAGGAAAAATAACACAGTTCTTAGAATCCAAACACAGAATTATTTTCACTCATTTATTTGTCCCAAATTTATAATTTACCCATCTAATTACAGCAATAATTAGGCTGCAGGATGTAATATATGTGTTTCCACAGGCAGCTGCTGAAATTTTACCAGAGGTTATGCAGGGAACTGATGTGTGTGATAATGAACTTTCTGTGTTATACAGCCAAATCCTACACCCAAAAGGAAACATATATTGGAAATTCTCTCCCATACTTTTAAGGCAGCTGTCTGCTCTCCCAGACAACTTCCATGCTGTGCAGGCTCAACAACACAATCTGTGTCTTATCTTTGTGCTGAATTCACTGTGTATTTGCAAAAACCCACAGATAGTGGGTTTCTTTTTCTAGGATCAGCTTGGATTTCAAAATCAGAAATCTGGTAACTCTACAATTACTCAGAATGGCTGCAGATTTCATACTATTTTCACACATTTATATTTTTCCTAATGATAACTCTGGTTAAGCAGGTACAGTGATAACTATTGATATCTGGTTAAGATATTATTGATATCAACACACTTGATATCAGGAATTGTGATTTTGCATTTGCTTTGTTGCTAAGGCTAAGATAGTACAAGACAATGAATTAACTGTATTTATATCAGGAAAGTATATGGAGTGTTTATAGCACAACAGAAATTGTGCCATTGAAATTTCATGCCATTGAAAGGAACACAGACGTAAAATAGAAAAGAAGCAGCTACACTAGATAATTTCTACTAAATACTAAGGAAGGAAAAACGGTAGTGAAAGGCTCCCTTTTAGCCTGCTGGCTGAAAAGTATCAGCATGAATCCCCTCCCAAATCCAACCAAAATTCTCATGATATACATTGTGCCATATTTAAAGGAAGCTGACTGAGAAAAATATAGTATGATACATTTAAAACAATGAAGTAAAATGAGGCATGCTATTAAGGGAAGAGAGATGCTGAGGGCCTGTGTATGCTAGACCAGTTTTAGAGAGGTGCTTGCTATATATTCCTGCACTGAACACGTCAGGCTTGTTATTCTTTCACTATCCACATTCCCTGGGTGGTAAATTATAGAAAATCATCCAAGACAATTCACCTTACTCTCTTCAAATCTCAGCGTGGTTTCTTTTTTCATGCTCCTCATTCCTTTTTTTTTTTTTTTTAAATTCCGAAGGAATTCAAGGTTAGAAAACTCGGCAGCTACGGATACAGCTTTACTTCAAAAGCGTAAGGCGAAAGCAGCAGCATTTTCAAGGCGCCGCACACAAAGGGATGCGCAGGGATGCGGGGCTCTGCGGGCTGTCCTCGCTGAGCCGCCTCTCTGTTCGCTGGGATCGCAGCGCTCTCTAGTGCCTTCAGCGAGCACATGGATGGAACCTGAGCCTCTCTCCGTAAATAAAACGGCACACCAAAGACCCACCACAACTGCCTTTTTTTTTTTCTTTTTTTTTTTTTTCCCTACCCATGCCTGATTTAACTACTAGGCAAAGAGCCAAACATATTAAAGACATACAGATATTCATAAGTAGTGCTTGCCGCATTAAGAGTGTCAAGGAACAAGCTGGATGCTTTTTCTACAGCATCAGAAACGATGTTGAAATATTTTACACTGCATCAGTAAGAAAATCGATGATGTTTAAAAGAATGCAAACCCGAGAAACAGCATGGCACAAATTTGAAATGCTACTTTAGGAATGGAGTGTGAGCCACCCAAAAAGCTTTATCAGAAATGCCAGGTTTTTAAATAGAAGAATCTCTTATTGAAGATTATGACATATCAGGATATTGTTTTCACAGTCTTTCTTACAATCTTAATAGCACTTTCAAGTGAGGCAAACATGTAAAATATCACAAAATCCAGCATAATTACCAAGGTCAGCTCATTATCTGTGACTCAGAGGCAGTTAAAAGAAAATTCAGCAAGGAATAAGCTCTTGATGGAATATTAATATCTACTTTGAACATCCTGGCTTTTGAAATATCATACTTCTTTGACTGTTATGAAATTTCAGTTTTCGTGCCAAGAGCCTTTTAAAAGAATAGTAAAATACACACTGCTTTTCCACCAGGACAGGACATATATTCTTATATCTGATTAGGTAGTCATTATTTTAAAAATATATGTATACATCCTTTCCAAAAAATATTTTCCTCAGATGCAAATTAGTTTTTCAGAAACCCATCCACAGAACTCATTACTATCACTTTTTAAAAAATATACATATGTTTATAAAAAATAGATCTCAAGAATCTAGCTGGATTTATGACATATAGGTTTAGTGCTGGTAACAAAGTTTACCCTACCTGCAATCGAAATTCTGATGCATTACATATAACACACTCATTTAGATGAGCATGTTATGCTACTTTTATAACCTATGTTCATGTAAAAGTCAAACTTTTTCCATAGGCATTGTAAGCCTCTGTTAGTCCCTCAACTATATTTTGGTTTATATGGGCCACTTTGTGTCATTATAATTTCTTACCTTTTATTTATTTTTTTTTAATTCCCATGGGATTGCCTTAAAGTTGTACTTACCTGTGCAGAAGTACTACTAAACTGGCATTGTTAGGTTAAGGTGATATAATCACTTGTGATCATATTGATTATTATAAAATAAAAGGTTTCATACAATATTACAGAATTATACAGTACTTCACATCTGTGATTTATTCTGTTTATTATTCTGTAATGGCCCTCACTGTAGATAACACAAGAATCACTGTACTTACTTTTTAGATCTAAATTTCTGGCTCCTGCTGTGCTCTGTGTTGTGATTTTAGTGTCAATCTTTACAGTGTGCAGGTTGTTGGTATCCCTTGATATCATGACATTATGCCACTGGTTGTCATTCAGAGGTTTATTAGAACTTCCCTTGATGAGGTTGGCACCATTTCCCAAGTCAAACACATAGTGTAAATACCTGGGAAAAGAGAAAAAATTGGAAAAGTTTCCTTTTTCTTTACATAGCAAGGAGGCAATAATTAATATGTCTAATATTTTCTATTTGCTTGTACTCCTCAGCAGAACTGGCTAAACCAGAAGACAACAACGAATGCCAGATGGGGAAGCAACTGTGATTCCAAGAAATTGCCACTCATTTGGATGAGTTGAGGTGCAGTCCCAAGTTTCTGGAAAGCAACGAGCACTCCATGTACCAAGACATGCATACATACGTAGAGAGAGAGAACAAGAGGGAGGCTACAAACTAGCACTTCTTTGTGGTAAGCACCAGAGAAGTTATACCTATTATTTACTTTCATACATTTCAGGCATCTAGCTTCATCTGAAAGAAAGAGTCACAATAAAGCACATGAAGTTCAACAGGAAGAAACATTTATCGATCACATCTATCCAGTCAGAAAAAAAAAGATTTTCATCCTAAGCTTTCCCGTGTATTCCTCCTGCACACACATTTCGAATGGACTGGTTTTGCTGTTATGCTAATCCATACATACCCTTTTACTAATTCAACCACAATGAAATCATTTCCATCGCCACTGTTAAAAAGTATCAATCCATCCAGGGAGGTGGTTTTGAACTGGAAAAAAAGGTGCATAGATGTGTACGCTTGTAGCGTGGCCAGTGCAACATAACTTGCTTTTGTTTTAAAGGTTACAGGGTCTGCTATGATGTTCCTGAACCCGAATCTTGCATTTAGCTCACAATAATCGATGTCTCCATTTTTACATAAGTCAATGTATGCCATGCCATTAAATGTGAGACTCTGTAGATGCCCAATAAAATTGGAAGGCACAGAAGACAGATAGCGCCGTTCTGTTATTATTCCTGTTTCTATGTTGTGGAATTCCAGCCGTGTGTGATCGCCAGCCATTTGACCTTGAAACAGCAACAAGAAAACAGGTGTTAGTGTCTGAAAGGGGAGGTCAAAGAGTACATCATGTGATTAAGCATCTGCATCATTTTCACACTTTTCAAAATGTGCAAGGCCAATCGTTGTCTCCAAAGAGAATTCTTCCAAATTCATCCTAATTGCTGGTAAATCCAGGAGCCTTTCCAAAGCACTCAGTACATTTGGATAAGGCCAACAGAAAAATTGCTAAACTGAAACAGTTTACTGTACATTAAACTGCCAACAAAATCCCTCACTTTAGTTACACCTAACCCGATGTGGGGTTTTACTATAAGCAATTACTTAACAGGAGGAACACAAAGGCCAGTCTAAGAGCTAAAGCAACAATATCAGAGTCTTATGAAAGAGAAACAGAACAGCTTGAGGGATTTCATTCCATGTGTTTTGCTTCATTGTGCGTGACTTGACTAGTGGTACTAAGGACTCCTGCTTCAAATGTCTTGGGTACATTAATGACAGACCTGCTGCAAAAAGCCCTGTGTGACAAGGGTGGAAAGCTTCTTGAAAGCAACTGGCTTTGTATCATGGGAGAAGGGGCAGAGCCCAAGGGATGGGCAGAGCAGAAAGCCTGCAGGAAGGGTGCATGCCAATGTAATTCTGGAAACAACAAGGGACATGCTTACATCGGAAAGGTGACCGAAAACAAACCCCAGAGCTGCCTTTGAGTTCTCTCTGTCATGCCAGGACCACTGCAGAGCAAGAAGCCTGAAATCTGCTGACTGTAATGCTAATCTGGAGGAAAGGATCAGCACTGCCAGAGTACACTGCATACAGGTCAGGTAAGTTTTTAGGCTAGTTATTAAATACTTTGCCCAGCACATCAAAATTGTGTTCACTGAAGAGTTCCTTTTTCTGACAGAACGTCCAATTTTTTCCACACTTATTTTAAAGAAGTAGGGCAGTATTTTCACAGGACTGATTCATAGTCACATTGTGTGGAAAAACAGCTTCTTATTACTAATGAATTTCACCACTTAATGTACCTTTTGCAAACCATGGCCTAGATTCCCCAGTTCCTTAGCTGTTTCATGTCTCTCATGGAGTACACAGAAGGTGAAGAGCAGACCTAGCCAGGCTGGACTAAATACTGGCATAAAACTGCTCTAATACAAGTTCCCACAGTGGCAAAGCTAGTTGACAAGCCAAGTTCCTTCTGTGCATCCCCAAATATTCTATTCCAAGAGGCAGTGTGAGCACTGCCTCAGGCTGGACATGTCAGAAGTGGTGCACAAAGCCTGGAGGAGGCTGACACAGCTGTACCTTTGTAGGTGTCATAAGCAAGTGCCTGTGGACATGTGTATGACAGGGAAAAGACAAGGGAAAGAGAAATGTCGATATCTGAGATTTGCCCAGAGAGATGAATTCATGAGCAGGTTAAGACACGGCACTGAGATACAAGTACAGGCATCAATGAAGTTACAGGGAAAATAGCTCTGTAAGTTTTAATACCATTCAGGCACAAAAATTGCTCTAATAATTTATGATAAATATTTCCAAGTAGCTTACTTAGCTTTGAGATGAGTTCTGTAGGAGAACTTGTCATTGAACACCACCTGCTCATTGAACACTCACAGGGCTGAGCACTGCAAGAGGCACCCTAAACCCCAGGGACAGTCTTCCTGATGTTCTTGTTTCTAAACATCAAGATACCACTTTCCCTGAATGTATTAAGCAAAAGTGGGTTCTTCCATGCAGTAATAAGTCATGGAGCTGTCTTGAAAAATGCCAAATGTGTAATTTTTGCTGGGACAAGAGCTGTATGTTGCATCACAGCCAAAGAGCTGAGGATCAGGTTTCAGAGAGGAACATTATATAGTCCAGTCCTGCATCCCTTCAGATGGCATTCCAATAATGTCATGGCAAAAATCCACCAAGCTTTGGCCTCTAGCACAATATCCCCACTGCCTTAAATGTATTTTTTTCTTGAGCATAGTAATAAAAAAGTTACAGAATTTAGGCTCCTATCCCTCCAACATTTCAGTTCTACAAACACGCAAACAAGACTTGAGATTTCCCATAATGCTCCACAGGATTTGTAAATGCAGCAATGAAGTAAAAGAGAATGTAATTTGTACTTACGAGGCTGGGTGTTTGGGGATTTGGTGGTGGGTTTTGTGGTTTTTTTTTGTTTTTTTTTTTTTTTTTTTTTTTTTTTGTTTGGTTTTGGTTTTTTTTTTTTTTTTTTTTTTTTTTTGTTTGGTTTTGGTTTTTTTTTTTTTTTTTTTTTTTTTTTAAGTTTGTCAGGTTTGCGGAAAAACATCACAGAAACAGGCAATTGAATTTCTTTTCAAAACCATAAGTTATTCTGTTACCCAAATTTAGTGAATATCCAACCACTTTTATTTTCTATACAGTCTTAGAAAATAAGGCTTATCAGGGCTGGAAATATTTAAACTCTTCTGTGATGAGCAACTTCTTCAAAACCACCTGCATGGCTTCCAATGAAAGCTAGTTATGACTAAATTATATTATGTATCCTTGCACACATCATGCATTTGTCAAAGAGGACCAAGCACAACTCACAAATGAACAAGTGGATTTTTTAATCTGTAAAAATTAGAAAGTTAGGCTGAATTATTTAATGGATTTCCCTCCAGCTTCAGTTTTCTGGATCTGATGGGGATTCTTTCATATAAAGCATAGGAAATGGAATCAAAAAAGGAAAACAACATGTGGCAGAAGAAAGCTGGAATTTTTAGTAGGAAGTCAGTTTACTTCCTTATTCTCCTCATAAAACTATAATAACCTTTCACATGAAAAATTAATAGGTTGTATTTGAATCAAATTTCTGATTATTGGAACATCTGAAGAAAAGTTCTAAGCAGTTGAGAACAAGCACACTTTAATCCCACATGGCAACCCTTCCCCTATGCTTTCAGGAAATTCAAAGCTACTACACATTAAATTCTATTACACACATTTGAAATTTAAACTTGTAAAGGCTTTAAAAACACTTGGCGTTGAAAAAAACCCAAAACAACCAAAAACCCCACCCCCCAAAAACAAAACAAAACAAAAATTCTCACCACTTAAACAACAATAAAGATTTTCTTTGTAGGAAATGTGACATTCATGGAACTAACAGCAGATTGCCCACATTTGAAGTTCTCTCTTTTTCATATAGCAGTTTCCTCCTCACTGGTGGAGTAGGACACAGATTGGCCACACAGATTCCTACAGGGAGTTTAGGAATGTCTTTTTCCTTCCAAAATATTGGGATGAGTTTCTCCTTTTGGACTAATAACATTAAACATCTGTGCATTATGCAAATGCAGACAAGTTCCAGCTTGAAGAATTGAGAGAGAACTCAAGCCAACTGGCCATTTTTGGATGTACATACTGAATTGTGGAAAGAATACAAATGTTGCACCAGAAAGCTGGACCCAGGTTATGTAACCTGCAGTGTTTGTAAATTAGAACTCTGGAATGGAGTCCAGGAGCTGTGCATTTGGATCTTGCACTGGATTTTGATCTAAACTATTTTGTCTACATTAGAATCTGCCTTGAGTAGCAGTTGAAGCAGCAAGATCATAAGTTTTTTGGGTTTTTTTTGTATACTTCCTCCTATACTATCAAAAAGAAAATAAATTGTTTAGGCCATCTACATTCTTGAGAAAATGATCCTAGGCATCATAACATACACAGACTTCAGTGCTGGAAGATATACTGGTAATTTCTGATACTAGAAAATATGTTCTTGCAACTAAATGAATTATTTTTCTACCAGTGACAAGATCCTCAGTGTTCTGTTGAGGTGAAAAGGGATTATTAAAAAGTTACACTCCTCTTTACAAAAAAAACAAAAACAAAAAAAAACCAAAAAAACCCACCAAAAAACAACAAAAAATATAAACAGAACAACTAAACAAAAAAAAAAAAAAAAAACAAAAAAAAAAAAACCACAAAACCAAAACATTTAACTTGCTACCATTTTAACAAAGCTTAGAACCAATGATAAAAGCTGTTTAATGCTACACAAAACCAAAGGATAATTCTAAATAGCTAACAAAAATTTAGGCACATTCTGCTGTGCAAGGAATCAGGGCCAGAAGCCAGATAAATTTCTATTGACAACATGCATGTGAACATTGTCCTGTACAGGACAAAATCAATGTATTCTCTATTAGTATTTCTGATAATATAAGTACAGAAACACATATCTGTCATCTGCTAGCATGCATGCCATTTTTTTTTCTCCCACCCCAACTGCTATCTTAGTATTTGAGAAAAACATGCTGCCTAATATATAATTATTGAGGACAGTTGATGCAAGATTCAAACCACAGTAGAATATCCTTCAAATGCTTATTAAATTCTTTCTTCCAGCAGTGGCTTAGAGTTTAGCCCTAAAAAAGTGCTGCCAAAAGCATTTTGCTTGCCTTCTCACTAGTGATGTGCTAAATCACTTCTCTCCCATCACTGTATAAAAACATTCATTTAAGTCAGCACGAAGGTTTTCATTAATTTCAATAGCAACCTTAGAGCAACATTAATAGCAAGTGCAATAACACACTTCTTGTACCAGCATTGCAAGATGCATAACATGAATTTTGAATCTTACCCAAGAAAAGGGGAAAAAAAGCATGTTTCTCTCAGATAAAGTCATTTTACTTCTGTATCATTTTGTTTTGTTTTGCTTTGTGTTTCCCCCCAGCAACATGAACTCATGGAACCACAATGCCACAGTACCTGTCACAGCCTGCTGGTCATCCACCATTAACTTTAAACCTTTTCCTCGCCGCACCACACGCACTGTGTGCCACTCATTATCATTGAGGTTATAGCCAGCAAAAAGGGTTTCTGGGCCTTTGCCTGTAGGACATGCCAAACAGTCATTATGCAATCTTTAAAGCAGTTTACATGTGAACCTCACAGAGAAAGAGAGAAACAGAGAGACTGGCTGGGCAAATGTTAAAACTCACCAAAAGTCACATCAAGCAAGAAAATTACCAAGTATAAGCAAAACACAGAGCTACTATATACTCTATGCTATATAACTACTATATTAAAACACTTCTAATGTCTATTTAACTATGTAAACACATTGCGTATGCACCAGGTTTTCATAAATAGGCACAGTCAACATGGATTTAATTATTCACTTTTCAATCTCATACAGGCCTTTAAAAAATAGGATTACTGAGCCAAAAGGACTTAAAGTATGGATTTACAAGACTGGATTTTTGCTCCTTTATTAAAAATAATTTGGTAGGAAATAAAAAGTGGTAAGTGTGTGTGCATGTATTATATTTTTCTTAATCTATGTCAACCTATCTGTTTGTTTAGCTTCTGTTTATTAGGACTTCTCAGAACATCATCTATCACCTGATCTAGATGACTTGCTAATATTCAGATCCAGTACCTTCTGCTGTTAGCAGATCTTCAATCCATGCCTTCATTTTTCATTTCATGGATATGGGTTTTTTTAGGTTTTTTTTTTGAAATCTGCTACTTCTCAGCAGTACAGCAAACACTTTTTATGCAAATTTTGTATATAGCACGATGTACTTGTGACAACCAAAGTATTCACAGACCCTGGATAAAGGATACCTTTAATGCCCAGGAAAAGATTTCTCATAAGAAAAGGATTATGGAACTCTGCCTTGCACTGTTGACCAAGAAGTGAAAGAGAGAAAGAAACCCCCGACTTTGTACTGTCATTGATACAAATAGATGATAGATCAAGTGATGCACAAATAGATCAAAACCCTTGTGGTGACTGTCCAAAAGGCAAAGCTAATTTGCAATAAACAAATTACATTCTTGTAAAACAGAGACCTCCCCAGCCTGTTTTTCAGTTTCTGTGGCAGAATAAATGCTGCTGATAACTTAAAGTTGTCAATTAAATTCTGGACTCCTCTGTGCAAAAGAGAAACAGAGCTCTTGCAGCTGGTCCAGAGGAGGCTACAAAGATGATCAAGGGACCAGAGCATCTCTCTGATGAGGAAAGGATGGAGGACTGGGTCTGCTCAGCCTTGAGAAGAGATGACTGAGAGGGAACCTCATCAGCGTCTATGAGCATCTACAGGGAGGGACCAGAGGATGGACCAGGCTCTGCTCGGTGGTGCAGTGGGACAAGGGGCAACAAGCAGGAACTGAGGCACAGGAAGTTCCACCTGAACATTAGGAAGAAGTTCCTTACTGTGCAGGTGACAGAGCACTGGAACAGGTTACCCAGGTAGGCTGTGGATATCCCCCCTCCATGGGGATATTCAAGAACTATCTGGACACATTCCTGTGCCATGTGCTCCAGGATGAAACTGCTTGAGCTGGGAGTTTGATCAGATTAACCCATTGTGGTTATTTCCAGCATGACCCATCCTGTGATTCTGTATAAGAGACACATTATAAAATAACTTCTGACACAGAAACACTAGGGTTACCCTGAATCAGACCATTACCTCCACTGTGCCCTTCCAGGTGACTCTATCCCGTGTGTCAGTCTTGCTCTGAAAGGGACATGCAACTAGCTCTGAAACTCTCTCACTTTTCTCTTGGGATTCTATTCCATCCAGCACAGGCTAACTATGATGGGTGAGATCTGTTACTAAAATCAAAGCCTAAAATCAAAGCCTCTCTGACTTCAGAACTACACAGAAGGAAAAGGACACTAAGATCTTGATGTAGCTGTTCAGCATATTGGACAGTTTTCATCTCAGATATTTTCCATCTTCTGTCAGCATTTTTTTAAATTGCTGCTGGTTTATTGCCCTGATTTTATATGCAAACTTTGCTATTTCGGGCATGCCAAGGGGATCTCCAGGAACAAAAATGCAAAGCAAAGGCAGTGAGGGTCTCATAACGCTGTTTTTCTGAGTCTGTGTTGACACCGAGCTAGGAAAGGTGTTCAAACCCAGCAGAAGATGATGACCAGGGTCAACTACATGAATAATTCTGTTCCTTAAATGTTTGCTTTCTTTGACAAGAGAAAAACCAGTTTTGCATAAAGCTTAAGTGGATAATATTCTCTTTGAATGTGCTGGTATAGATGCAGTGACTAAAACCTTAAGCCATCTATTTTAGGCACTTCAATGGAAGCAATTCTACCTAGATTTGGAGACAACAGATGGATTAAAAAAAAAAAACAAACTGAAATAACATGAGCAAAATCTTAGTGAGAGTTATTAAGCCTGCCTACACATACACCATTTAATAATATTGTAAACATATTCCTACTTATTTGTTAGTCCAACCTTTTTTTTTTTTCATTTTTAAAGTAGCTGAACCACTTAGTCTCCATTATCTTGCTTCATATCTCTAAAAGACCTAAAAGCATATGCAATTTTAATTTACTCTCACATTAACAACCCTCTGTAGTGTCTCTCTCGTGTAAAGGTGCCTCAGTGTATGTTATTATCAAATCCAACTTGGCTGCTCACATTTACAGGCAAATCTATCCATTCTATTTTAATGGCTGGGGACTTGCAAACTCTTCCTGTTGTAAAATTGTGTGTTTTCCTATGCATCAGTCTATTTTCCCTTGCAAGAGTACTCAGAGTAAAAAAATCACGTCAAAACTCCATGAAATCTGCCTGTTCCCACTGCATGCAATCCAAGAGAGGATTAAGGGGATGCCTGGTCAAAGGGTGTCGGGGTCCACAGTGATGTGCTGAGATCCCACAAAAGGGCTTTGAAAAGGACAAACCTTGGTATGACACACCATGGGAGCAGTGCACTGAAAAGAGTCCTGGCCATGGACAAACTATCCACTTGCATGGAAAAGAGACCTTTCCTTCCTGGGGTTGATCTCTAACAGAGAAAAACAGCTTTTGATTTGTCAAAGAGGGTACAAGAAACTAGGAAATAGCAAGGCCCAGCGCCCAAGGATTGTGTATCTGCCTGTTCCATCATGCTGCTTCTCTGCAAAGTAGGACAGCTTTCCATGGCAGCTGAAGAGGGAGATAAGAAAGGATGGATGCTCACCATTCCTGTGCTAATGCAGTGCTCGGGCTGACTTCCTGGCCAAGAACATGCTTTCACACAGAAAAGCAGCAAATATGACTGTGAGCAGAGTATTTAGGAAAAAATTGTCTAAATGCTTAAACACAAAACCATGTAGGAATCCATTGATACCACAAGACTACCAGAACTGCAGAAGAAAACTCCTAACATACCTTATTAAATGTCACTGGTCTACCTGAAACATAGTTCATATTAGTACTTTCCTCACTAACTTTCAAATATATGGACCTAGAATTAATTTCACTATCGTATTGAGATCATACAGAGTATTCTTCTGCCCTAGTTATAGTTCTTATGGTGAATCGACTACAAATTTATATCTGCTAAATCATTGGTCCTCCAGTCTTGTTCTGACTTTACACTGATCTGACTCCACTTTACTTAAATCACACCAGCAGAAAGTGCTCTTAAATAAGTGCATATAAATAAGAATTGGCATATTCCACCTCTTTTTTTTTTTTTGTAAAGGGGCGAGGGGTGTTCTGGGCTTTAAAAAAAAAAGTTCTATATCTCCCACCAGAAGAAAAGCAAGAGCCCAAATTAAAAGAAAGTGTGTATATATATGAAATTTTGTTTTACATGGACTGATACTATTTTTCCAAATTTATGTCTCTCCACTCCTATTTCCCATCCTGTCCTTCTCCTGGAACTCATGTGTCTCTTTCCAGACAGGACATAGTTGTTTTACTTCACACACTCAGCCAGCACTGGCTCACTTTCTGAGCTACTGATTCTCTCAGATACTAAAACCTTAATCATAAACCTTTTCTTTCTGAGTCAAGATGCAAACTGGAAAAAAAAAATCCACTATCTCCTCTTGCTTAAGTATGACATTTATTATCAACGTCTGTGTTCAGCCCTTTTCCTATTTTAAAGGCTTAAATAACTACCAGATTTTATGCATCCTTAGAGAAAATGGATAATATCAAATAAAAGATGCACTGTCACTTTTATGGCTACCACAGTTTGCTCAGAGTCCATCATGCCAGTAAAATTTCCACATCCATTTAAAAGCAGATAATTGCTTGTACAAACACCTTTTTACAAAGCAAAATGCAGACTGTGCAGTCAGTCGATACAGGTACAAATCTTGATGGTGCAATTCATTATGAGCTAAGAGATATAAAGCCCCAAACATTCCCACTTATATGTTTACCTTGGCATCCAAAGCTCAGCTTTGCTGTCAGCACCTCAGCTGGAACTTAACAGCCCTTTCAAAGCTAAAGGAAAAAAGCATGAACCTCCCAAAAGAAAAAAAAAAAAATCTCATTTCCAGCACACTGAATATTCTAAATTTTCTCTGGAGATTCCTATGCTCTTTACTACCTTGTGAGGAGCTTATTCAGCCTAACTCAAGTGCTGAAGATTTGCTGAATTCCAACAAGTCAGTCAATTAACTTTAATATGCACAACTTTTCCTCTTATAGATATCTATCCTGTGATACTTTACTTTTAACCAACTACTTGAACTGATCTGATGATTTTGAAAGAAGATACTAGCTCTTGCATTGTACCAAAACATGTTCAAAATGAGTTGTCTGAATTTGTTTCTCATAATGCAATCCACCACTACTACTAAGGCATGTACCAAAATGCTTGGAGCATTCAATTCTGCCATCAAAATAGATATGAAATATAGAAAGAGGCACTATAAACAGAGAGGAGAGAGAGACTGGGAGGTTCAGTGAATGCTATAATAACCAGTGGAACCCAGGCAATTCACTACTATTTATTTATTAGTCAGCAAAAGGAAGATCAGTGTTTTCAGCCTGGTTTGCTAATAGAAAACTGTGCATACTACAGCTATCAGTAACAAGACAAAAAAGACTTTTGGACAAGAAGACAAAACA